GACGGAATTTTCTGACAGACCCTAATTCCGTTGGAAAGTTCGAAAATTCTGACGGAATTTAGGTCTGTCGGAACAGTTCCGTCGAAAATGACCTATTTCTAGTAGTGTTTGCTGGCAGAAATATGTCCTAACCTAGCATGAACAAGCTCAACACTAGGTTTTACATTTGTGGTAATAGTGTTATTTATAAAAGAAGAAACACTATCATTATTCTCAGAAGAAAACAAAGAAGAAACAAAACTAAATCTATATAAACTAGGCTCTCTTGTCCCAACAGCCTTGATCTGGAGCCATATCAGAAATTCAAGCTTAAGATCAAGAAAATCAGAAGATTGAAGAAAAATTTTGTAATTAAAATTGATTGAAAACACGCAGAAATTAGAACAAAATCAATCGAAAAACGTTCGATCAAATCAAACAGAAGAAGAATATCAGAATCAAGAAGAAAGAAGAAGAAATTGAACAATTCAATCGAGGAATTGCTCTGATACCATGTGAAAATCTCGGAATTATCTGAGATTTCTAGAGAGAGAAAATAGAAGAAGAGAATTTCTGTTGAGAAAGAAAGCTGAAAATTGTGAAAATGTTAAGTTGTCCTATTATGAGGTCTAGTCAGCCTTTAAATACAACATTATTACAACAATTAACTTCTAACAAACTTCCTAGAAAAGCGGGAAGCTCTAACAAACCCTGCCTAGTCAGCAATTATAAAGATCTGTACAACAGATATTTACAGTAATATTTACAACATCTTAACAAGAAGTAAACATGGAAAGATGCTAATCATGAATATTAGTAGAGCTTGCATTTTTTTTTTGATGAATATTACTAGAATAAAATTAATACTTCATATTATTATAGAGATATATTAAGTCCATTAAACACATAATTTTGATTTTGCCATAGTCAAGATCATCTAATTCTTTCCACACCTATCGTATTTTAAAAGGGTTCTCTATTTCTTCAAGCCCATGTTCATGCCACTTAACATAAAGTTGCATCTCAAAATTCCACTTAATTAACCAACTCAATTAGAAAAAAGAAACAGTGTAGATTAATTTAGTCTACTATTCTACAGAACATAGAATAAGACAAATGCAAACGGTTTCTTCCACCTTTTTCCCCACCTATATATAATTTCTAGTAAAAGTTCAAAGTTTCAGGTTTCAAGTTTGAAATCAATCTTTTCAATATTGCCATGTCTTTCGATATATAGTACTTCCTCCGTTTTTTTTATAGTTACAACCCTTTTCTATTTAGGAAATTGTTAATTACTTGCAACACTTTTCATATTTAACATTTCTTTCTCTCTATCTCTTTCCTATCCATATGGGTTCCTTTTATTTTTCTCTCTATCTCTCTCATCTTCAAAAATTGCCTAGGAGACCGTGAAAATAAAAATATTGTAACTAAAAAAAACAGAGGAAGTATGTATTTCTTATATATATAGAGAGAGAAGAAATATAAAAATGTTTGTCTCATTAAGAGGGGAGAAGTTAATTAATTAACATAATTAAACATATTCATGATATATACAAGTGATTTCATTATGGCTTTGTTATCATTTTATCAAAATATAAGGTACTTAGTATTTTTGGTCTCTAGGTGCTTCTCCTCTAAGCTACTTCATATATGCATGCATGCATGCTCCATCTTCAGTCAACATGGCTACACATATTACCTCCTAAAACTTAATTCGATTATCATTGATACAATGGAAGCACGTACGTACTACAGAGTTTATGATATGATAGATAAAGAATGAACATACACAAATTGATAAGATAAAGGATGAACATACACAAATTGATAACACAAGCCATTAACGAGGAAAAACCCATTATCCGAATAAAGGTCCAATTAGTACTTACTAAAAAGGACTTTAAAGATCATATAACAAATTAGCTCTTCTATTTTTTGAGGGTAAGATTAAAAAATTAATTAATAAAAGTTTATTAGGTGTACTAATTATAATCAGTATCTCAAGAATAATTGAAAAGGTATTTAATAGACTAGCTCGATTATAAAATACTGAAAGATAAGTCCTTGAGAGAATAAGACAAATACAAAGTGTTTAATCTCTACCTTTTCCCAACTACTTAAGTATATATTTTTAAATAAATTTTCAAAATTTCAAGTTTCAAGTTTCAAATCAATCTTTATAGTTTTTAAGTAATTAAACAAATAAATTGACTCAATTTTGTCAATTAGCTAATGTCTAAACGAAATATCACAAATATTAGAAGACAAAAAAGTTGAGGCCCAAAAACCAGAACCACCTGCCCACTTTCACATTCCCAACAAAATGGGCCGCGCACAACCCGCCCAAATAACGCTCAAGTGAGGGTGGGCCCAAACTTCAAGGGAAGAGGCCCTAATATTTCGAAGCATCCCAAAGTCATAGAACTTTCCAAAAGCTAACCAACAAAATACTACTAAGTCAGTTAGTTTTCAGTAGCTTTAAAGTCTAAAGTACCAACAAATAGCTAAAATACATTTCTTAATTTTGGCAAAATTCTATAATTTCAAACTTTTTTTGTACATAAAATTGACAAGATGAAGCCCATGACTTATAAGAGTTACAACCTCCCATTTAGATTTCTTTGCCTTTTAATGATTTGACTCTTTGCTTTGGTATGTGTTGTATGCATTATATCTTAGGTTGGGACCAATTTTATTGGCCATGATAAGAAAAATAAGCTTTTGGAATTAGGTTCCTTTCGTATTCGAATATATAAGATCGTGAATAAATAATTCGTATGAGTAACTTGATATTGTTTACTCATAATAACTACTGTATTATTGATTTATCAAAGTCACTTATTAATCTATTATCCGAGAAAAGTAACATAGCAGAATAAAGTATAGTACGTTAATGGTGTTTCAATCTTCCATATGATGAGTAAAAACATTTTTTTTATACAACTTTTATAAAGATACTAACCTCAAATTTTGTATATAATATCATATAAAGTATGAATTGTATAAAGATACTTATCAAATTAAAGATATCATATAATGTATGAATTGTATTTTATGTTGTGTCGTAGTTCCATTTATATTGAAGTACTCAACAAGACTATTAGGGAAAGCAAATGAAGGTATGGAAGTAATCGGAGTACTAAACTTTGTGTATGTCCTTTTGGCGGTAGGAGTCTTTTTTTCAAAGTTTTCATGTGAGGTTGTCTTGAGTTATGGCTTTTGCATGCTACAACCATATTATAAGATTGGGTGAGTACTACATGAAAGTTATTTAATTGATCTTGCTGCTTACGCCTAAGAAACTTGCACATGAATCTAATAGCTTAACTCAAAGATACATAGTCTAGAAGCTAGTGGCGAATCTTGGTCGAAAATATTGAAGGGGCTAATATTTGAACTTTAGTTCTAATTCCTCTTCCTCTCTATTCCTCTAACCACTATTCCACAACATTTTATAAGTAAAATAGCCAAATAGGGTCATTTGATTTTAGTTATTATATCTGCCTAAAATGTTAGTTGATGCTGGATATGACACAAAACAAGTGAAAAGCTCACAAATAATATCTTGATATTTCGATGTAAAGTAAGTTATTAGAGTTGACAATATTTGACACGACAATACGACACGACATGACACAATAAATAACTCGCGTCAATGTTATTGAGAGAAATCCAAAACCAACACCAGACGAGCACAAATCAACCAATTACTATTACCAATCACGAGCAATTATCGTACTATTTACATTATTTGGTGATCAACTCAAAATTGACTTGAAACCAAACACGAGCATGACCCATTTGCCTATTTTACCCATCTCTACATATACTGTACTGTACGATTATCAATGTTATTTGATGAATATACTTTTGGGCTGTTATTTGAAAATGGAATCTTTGGATTAAGCTAGCCATTTAATAACTTGCCTTAAATATGTACAATACGCAAGTAAAAGTATTAAGAGTACATTTCCATAACACCCAATCCATCTCTTAAAAAGTGTGTGCTCGAAATTTCAAGGGATGGGTTCTACTCTACCCTTTTATCGACAATACTGATGAAGCAAAAGCAATGATTAAAATTTGCTTGTGTTTCTGCGGGTAAATGCCATGCTTCGTACGTACTTGGAATTTGGCAACTTGAGCCTTGCATTCTGCCTTTGTTTTGTACTTGTGCATCATTACTTCTACGTGAATCACATCATTGTGAATTTGAAACAGGAAGCATCCAATTTACATAATTCCGAAAGAGTTATATTGCACCATCTTAGGTCGATCTCTTATCCTTCGCATATTGTCAAATAAACACGTCATTTTCAAAACCTAATGATGCAACTACAATGTATATACATTAATACATACATCGTATAACTACTATACCTCTTATAAATCGATTTATATCATGCATCTAGAATAACGGTTTCATATTCTCAATTATGTTTTCTAACGCGCAATATGTGCACATGTGATGCATGCAAAAGTTTTAATGCATGCTCACATAGACTTGAATGACTAATACGAAGTATAATTGTTGAAGTTATGTATTATAATTTTTTTTATTGCTTACCTGATGTGGAGACTTGGAGTAGACAATAATTTAAGTGTGCAAAAGGCCAACGGAGGACACTAATGGAGTGTGCAACACGCGCACCCATCTGATGGCTTAGAACCCAGGAGCATCATGGTTATAGGTACAAAGGCAGAAAACCTATCAAAAGCGAAGATTTACAACCAAGACATAATCACCCTCTAGTTTTTTAGCACTAACTGCTGAAGTAAAAATAGGATTAATTGATGGAAGAGCTTCAGAAAGCATGTTAAGCTTGCCTACATCTTGTGGAGACCATAACTAGTAAGATTGATGACAAAAGACCTTTTCCTTTACGACGGTGCTCTCATGGGGTATAGTCGTATAGGGGAAGATGGTAGGGGTTGTCACGTTAGCCATGGAAGAGAGCACAGTTGTAAATTACCCATAACAGCAGCAGAATAAGTAATAAACACGACGGACAGAAGAATTATTTTAAAAATTCTAGAGACTAAACAAAGCGCCATCAAGTAATAGAAAGAATGTATATATACAATTGGCGACATCACACCAATAACACAAACATAAAGATCCATAAAGGGAGTTTCCCAGGGAAACTACCACCCAAGAAAGATATAACCTGCACAATAACAAACACAACATACTTCACAACAGCAACTTCTTATGTTCATGTGAGAAAGGAAAAGTGAGAGATTGTGAACCTAAAAAGTACAGCCATACTTGTTCATCAACATCAAAAATATAACCGTCTACAAAGTGTAGCCTCAATCTCAGCTGGGCAGTAAGGGCACTTGAAGGTCTTAGTACTGCTCTTTGAGAGTTTTGTGATTGATTGCTTGCAAAGAACATGCCCACAAGACATCAGCATTGGTGGGTTCTCCTCGGTTGCTTGATCCCGAGTTACAGGGCACACAAATATAGTGTGGAATTGAAATTCTTTATCCAACTCAATCGGAACAGGGAGCTGTTTCATAGATTGCCATTCCTGTTTCTTACTTGTCATCACATTCATCAGTTTAAGAAGGGTAGGAAGCCCTTGAACTCCAGCTGCTACACTCACACTCAATGGACTCTCAAAAGATTGTCCCAGGAGATTACAGAATTGCCTTGTAAATTCTTCACCCAACTTTTCCCAATTGATAGGAGCAAGAAGATCAGAATAGGGAGAGGAGTCGAGTTTACCAGCCCATAAAAGACATGCCATCAGCTTCTGGATTCCAGCCATATGGGAGGAAGCAAAAGGAGATAGAAAAGTTCTAGCATATTTTAGGGCATCATCTCTACCTTGATTCTGCAGAATTTCAACGTACTGTAGCCTATGAAGTTTAAGCTCGAGATCTGATCCATTTTGCTTGAGTATCTCGCGGTTGGCAGATGCCCATTTTAGGGCTGGTTCCAAATTATGGGACTTCATGGCTTGTTGGATATGGTACATCTCAATAAAAGGACATTTTAAGGCAGTTGCTTCATGCTCCCCAGCTTCATTGGCAAAGCAGTCTCCCACTTCAAATAGGCCTTCCCTGTACAGATGACTGGCTATGATCTGATTAACTGTGTGGTTATTGAAATCAACGTTTCTGTATGCTTTAGATATATCAGGATTGAAAGATTTTTCGAGCTGCTTTGGGTACTTGCTCAATGGTCCATTCAGCTCTTTTTGGCTGGATTCTAGTTGGCTGCACTGAGTAATCTCCTTCAACTTGGTCTTGAGATCAGCAATTATGGCTTTATGATCTGGGTATGAAGTACTAGCATCAGCTGATTGTAGTTTAATTAAAGCCTGCTCAACTTCCTGGCCTATCTGTTCTACTGCTTCATGGCATTTGGAGGAACACATCTTTTGTTTTTTTGTAACATGGTCAAATGCATCTTTCACACCCTTCAGCTCCATTTTGTTGATCTTAAATTAATTTTCTCAAAGGATCTGTGAAGCGCAAACAAAGCAGATTAAACGCATAAAAGGTGTAGAAATTGGCATAGGAGAACAGCGGTTTTAATAATTTACGTAGCAAAGTCACATCTTCAATGAAAGAAACATTACATTTTACAGAGCAGGGAGAGAAATTTATGGAGTAAAGTATCATTACTATCTATACAGCAAAGATTCAAGTATATTGCAGGAGCACCAAGATAGTATATACAAAGTATATCCATATCAGGAAATAAATTCATTACATAGCACTCAAAAAAAAAGTAAATACAAGCCATTTGCTATAAGAGAAGAATTGATCACATATTAGGATAGGCAATTCAGATAACAGAGAGAACTTTTATGAAAACGACACAGCCTTATAAATGCACAAAACAAAAGGACAATGTCATTAACAGGCTGCAAAGAACAGTTCCCATATAGTTCAGTCTTCAAATGTCATATCCTCATCCAATGTTTTCTTGGTCATCAATGACTTCTCTTTAATTAAATATCATCTGAAAAATAGGAATGTCATACATCAACTTATCTACCGAATCCTCCCTATGTCTTGATCGAGCTAGTGTAGCAAAATCTTTGGCCAAGACATACCCTGGAACTATTGATCAAATCTGTTTTGGAGTTTGGACCAACTATCCAGGCTAAACATAACTTCTTCCCCATGCAATTAGTAGTGCAACCATGAATGTCACCTTGCAATCCAAAAATCCAAAAGCTTATGCAAGATGGTTTGCCCCAAGCAATTTGGGCTAAGAGTCTCCATGTGTATAAGAAGAGTTAGGGATGTGAATTGCCGTTGCTTCATGGCCATAACAATCAATTGAAGCAGTGAAAAGAACAAGAGATGTGCATCTTGTACTTGTCTTTAAATTGCTGTCAATGGCCTCTTGTAGTATTTATGAAACTTTCAGCTACCTATATTCTCAGCTAGGGAATCCCTATCGCCTAGGTACGCCTTCAGCTTTTGGTATCCAAAATGGTCTAGAGTCATGTATGATCCAACATTTATTACAAACTTAGGTTACCTTAGAGGCTACTATGGGGATTAAGACCCTTGAATTTGATATATAGTTGGAATTTCTTTTGACTATTCAATCTTAGGTCATACAGTCAGAGGCTCAGAGCACCGTAAATTCACCACATCCAAGATTTCTAATTATTAGTGTGGTTTCCCAAACTTCAAGGGCTGACTGTTGGTGGAAAACCATCAAGCAGATAGTAAATTGGTAAACTGAGAATTGTATGAAGCTAGAGAAGGGTATTTACTAGTGAAGGACCTTCTGGTTATCAGTAACCTTTTTTAACCCTAGCATAGAAGTATGATACAACACTCTAAATAAGCTCTCTATATCAGCTGCATAAATGACACTAAAATTGATCTTATGCCTCTAGAACTCTCCAATGTGTTACACAATAACTATTGTTTGCATGAAACTACAAACCTCTTAAAAATAAATCAAATTGGTGAATATGATGTTAACCTCTAAAAACTTTCAAGTCCCAACCTCCATTCATATACCAAGGATATAATTCACAAATTTCCTAAATCCAAAAATCAAAGAGAAATATAGAATTATGACCGAGAAAGGCGAGATATTCATCAAAATTACCCCTCAGGCCACAGTGCAAGATACATATTGACTGGTACTAATCCATAGAGGATGTATCACTACTGCAAATTGGGGGAGGGGGCTTCAGATAAAAGCCTACAAATAAGTAAATTAGAGAAACAAAATCAATTATTCATGTGAGCTTGAGGAAAGTCCCCGATGCTGTGTTACAAATGAACAAGAAAATAAAGAATACAATAAGTCCCCGATGGGGTCTTTCAATTAAAAAACCTTAGGTATCCAAAAAACCTTGGACTTACCTAAGAAACATAGCTATCTACAATGAGGAGAACTAATGTTTATACAATCATTTGGGGCTTACGAAAAATAATAGAACCTAAAACTAGACACTGTTGTAACATCCTGCAAAGTTGGAGTATTATTTCTTTGTCAAAAACTCCACTAATTCCAGCTCTAGACTTCTAATAAAGTTAAAGAGGAAGAAGAAACCTTAGACAAAAAGAATAAGTGTGGCGAAAAAAAGTGAGGTAAGCAACACCACGCCCCAGAAGCAAACTTAAAATCCTAGGTCAGAAGAGAACGCTTTGAATATTTAGAATGCCGTAAAATCATTCCACTGCAACTCTCAGCTTTTAATAAGGCCAACTATGATAACAAAAAAACATCTACTAACTAAACAAAAGATACCGTGAAAGAGAAGATGAACCAACTCGATAGAGGCTATGTGTAAATGACACCTGAAACACGATTTTCCAAACCTAGGAAAGAAGAGAACCTCATATAGCTGAGATCCACCCTTTTTGCAACAATCATCTACATTGTTATACACAAGAATGAGTAACATGAATAGAATCTTAACCACATACATGCAAAGTCAATAAGGAAAATTTTTGCAAATAAAAGCCATGAGGAACTTCATAGGCACTACATATTTTCCGAAAAATAACACTGTTAATCTCTTCTTCTTAAAAATAGATTGATGACATTTATATAGAAACACCACATATACATGAAACCAAAGTGTTCCCATCTGTCTATTTCCAATGTCGCTGAAAAGTTATTTGCCAAAATATTTTACTTCTGCTTAAAATACACCAATAAGTGACATAAATTACGTCAAAGTATCAATCAATAGATGGCTTAGGAATCAAGTATATCAAAGAACAAACTCTAAAATTCAACCATTAAGAACACATTCATTTTAAACAAGCCCACATCCCAACCCAACCCCAAAGGAAAAAATCATGCATCCACACACAACTATGAAAAAGAGAGCCTCATGAGACATGTTGAAGAATGGTGTGGGGAGGTAATAAAATCATCATCATCCAGTATACACATGAATACATGATCATGCATATAATTTTGAGTTTTCAGTTGCAACAAGTAAATTGATACAGAGGATAGAGAGAGAGAAAAAAAATGCCAAAACAAACCATGAAACTTCTTAGCTATTTATAAAACAGAAAATTGTATTCACTTAACTAGTACATCAAAGAATACTCTTCTGCAAAGTAAAATACCATAATATCGTCATCGGTGCTATTGTTCTACTCCCTCAAAGATGATTTCCACAACCCTACCACGAAATCACTCTTCATAATAGTTAATTAAATCCCAAGTTCTCCCTGCCATTCAATTAAAGTAGGGGTGTTTTGGAAAATCCAATCGCACATCATTACTATTCTCGGATAGTCAAACAACCCTAAATAGTAAGTGTAAATACAATCAGACCAAAAGGAGTATCGCCGAAACTCCAAATACTGCCAAATCAGAATCTTTATCAAATACCAGAAAGTTAAGCCACAAATTCCCCCACAAATGCAATCAGTGAGCCAATACACATTCCATATGTCTAATATTCACACACAACCAAGTATTAATTGCTAAAATCAACAGCCATCCAACCAAGAAAACTATCAAAAAGGTACGAAAATACCGACAATCACTACGTCTCCCCCTTAGCAATCTTTAAAAGCTGCAAATTTGAATTCATATATGTGATTAACCTACTAATCAGACAAAAGGTCAATTCACCTAATCCACCTCATCTTTTTATCCGCAACTCAAAATCAATCAACAAGAAGAGTAACAAGCTAGGCATACTAAGATTAATAATTAAATGAACAATTTACAATACTCAATTACCCAAACAAGAATTTCTTATTATACAGCTTATAAAAGCTACAAATTTTATTAAAATTGAAGTAAAAGGAATCAAATAATGGATTGAAATTGAAACATGGAAGGAATCCTAACAAAAACCCAACAAAATTAAACCACAAATACCCATTTCCTGACAATACAGAAACCATAAATACCCAGATAAAAAGAATCACCATGAAATTAGGGCAGATCCAAGAACAAGAGGAAACAAGAGAGAGAGAGAAAGAGAGAATTGGAATGAGAATAGAGAAAAAGAACTGACCTTGATGATGGGGAGAAAGGGGGTATGGTGGGTAAATGAGGGATGAGATTGGATTTGGTAGGGAGGAGTCAGATATCAGCAAGGGTTTCTTGCTTCTTCTCTTCTTCTTCTGGGTTATCACTGATACAGAAACAAATATTGTTTTTTTATAGGTTTTTTATTTTTTTATTTTTTTTTATTTTTTTTTTTGTAATTCACACGGGTTATTATGAAATTTTTTAATTTCAATAGTATATTTTGTGTATCATTAGGGATAAGAGAATCCCTCTGTTATCAAGCAAATGTAGTTGGTGGGGCTCGAATTCGTAACGTCAAATCACAAGGTAGATTTCCCACCAATAGTAAAACACTTTGACGTTACATCTTAATGATTTTCCTAAGTTGACATCTTATGCATTTTCTTGGTGACATCTTAAAATACACTTGCTTGATCAATAAATTAAAGTGTTCATAATCAATAAAATGTCATATCGAGGTTTTATGAGCTCATACTTTATTGGTTTGTATTTGCATTTAACTAAGGTCAACGCTTGAGATTATAGGGAGAGTGTAAGGGAATCCTCTACTCCCAAGCGAATATAGATGAGGGGCTCGAACTTATAACTTCAAAGTTATAAGATGAGTTTCCCTCCGTAGTATACTAGTTTAAGGCAAGTTTAACTAGTATATCCGTAGTATACTAGTTTAAGGCAAGTTTAACTACGGTCTACGAAGTACTACTCCGTAGTACTATTTTCGTTCCTGAAAGTTCGACTCACTTTGCAATTATACGGTTTTCAATGAACTTCTTTAACCATGAATAACTCCGGTTGTGTATAAGTGAAGTTTGTAAAAAAATTGATAATTGGATTATTTATAATAAGGGGAATCCAATATGATCTCACATGCTAATTTATTTATATTGTATAGCTCATAAAATATGGTCAAAGTTATTTTATTTTGACTATATAAATAGTAAGTGAGTCGAAATTTTAAAAATGGAGGTAGTATATTATTTGACCTAGGTGTGTAACTATTTCTAAGTACTAGCCTTTAGTTTTCGCGCCTCTTAGCTTCTGCTAAAATACTTGCTTCTATCCCTCCTTATATGCTCTAATTACAATCTTGTTTACATTGTGTTTCTCCCTGATCATCTACTTGTCGTTATAATTTGTAGAATTACGCAATGCTAAATTTCTGAAAATTTGGAGGTAATCTTGTTCTAGGTTTTGCAATTTTCTATCTTTCACTTTGTTATGTTATTTTTTTTTTTTTTTTTTTTTGTGTTCTATCCAGTTAATCCTTTGGGCTAATCCGAATTCGAGGATAAGTTCTGGGTTGTTAGGTTCCAGTCCCCTCCCAATTGTTGTTGCGGGGATGGAACACGCGATCCTCCCTATTAAGTGTAGCCCCGATCACCACTACACCAATAGCTAATTGGTACTTTGTTATGGATGTTTACTTTGATTAAGTATGATTTTAAAGCCTAATTATGATATTATCCTTAACCTTGAATAAGATTGTATTTCTCAATTTATTCTGCATGACTTTTGCAAAGAATTGTATAAAACATAAAATAAAATTAAAAACTTTTCTTTGTGTTGAGCAATACCCATAATTCATTTCTGCAATTTAAGATGTCCGAAAAAACTACCATTTTCTTACAAGCTTTTATTTTTATTAGGAATTTGTTTTTGTTTTTGGTGTATACATAGAGAGCAACATAATGCTTATAATGTGGATGAAATTCAGTCTCAATTCTTAGGTACTACCTCAGGAGGATGTACCACATCGGTCATTTGCTCGTATTTTCTAAGATCGAACAGCGATTTTCTGCATCTTTTACCTGTTTCCAGTCACATACATAGTAAAAGAAGATTGAGTTACATTTTACAGATATTAGTTAGTGTAGTTTGAACAAAGGTTACAACATGACAGAATCAAAATGCTGCTCAAATGAAGATGATATGTCAGTTGATTTGTAGGGATGTACTCATTAGTTTTGTTCTGTAAATAGGTTTCTGAAATTTATGAGAATCTGATATTTAGGCTGCACAAGATGGCTCATATGTTACCGTCCAAGACAGTGAAGAGGCCAGCTGATGAAGTTTCTTCGGAACGCTTGAAGAAACGAAGGGCAGTGGATGAGGAACCTAAGTTTAATGCTGTACTGGATGAGGTACTTAATACCTAACTAATTTTTGTAACACTTAATTTACTCTCAGTGTCTGGAGCTCTTTTTTTTTTTTTTTTTTTTTTTTTTTTTTTTTATCCCCTTCTCATTTTCAATATGGAAGTTGTGATTCTTGTTAAAAAGAATTCTATGTTTTTATTTCCCCTCAATGCTTGAGTAGACGTTAAAGGATCTGATAAGCTGATACTATGATCATTCAGGGAGCTTCGTTCTCTAAACAGCCGTGTCAACCAACTACATCAGAAGACGAGATTCAGTCTCGAATTGAATCCCATCCACAATGCTCTGTGGAGTCCCTTCAGTCAATAGATTACTACGATTCAGAAATGGAGTTTCATGATGTAGATGCAGAACGGTTGGTAACTGTTCAAAAGTTCACCTTCGATCCTGTCCTATCGAGGAAAGAATTGGCCAAAATGATTATACTACATGACTATCCTCTTTCTGTTGTTGAGCAAATAGGGTTTAGGGACTTCTTGCGTAAAGTTAATCCTTCATTTGGGATGCACTCTCAAAACACTGTTGAGAATGACAATGAAAATCTTCAAATTTGAGAGGTGCACGACATTCTGCGATTTAGATGATAATTCGTCCGGTGGAGTTGCTATTACAACAAAAATGTGGACTTCTAATGATGGAAATCAAAGATTTTTGGCCATCACAGGACACATAATTGATGATGAGTGGAAAAGACAATCATATATCTTGAGGTAATTTCAGTTTTCACTTTACATAAAAAGCTGTTTTTATCAAAGCTGTGAATCATATGTGCTGTATGTTTATCTCAGTTGCTACCTTATATTTCTCTGCTTGCTGCAGGTTTGCAAATGTGCCATTACCTTGTACAAATGAGTCAATTAGCAAGGTCATTCTAGATTGTTTCTCATACTTCGATGTGATAAAAAAACTGTCAACTATAACAGTCGATAGTTACACTTCTGATGACAAGCTTGTTGACATTCTAGTGGAAAAGCTTTCAGGAAATAAACTCCTCTTTAGAGTAAAACTATTCCAGTTACCATGTTTTGCTCATACTTTGAGCCTGATGGTGCAAGATGGACTTGATGTGGTTAGGCATGTAATTGAGAAAATACGTAATAGTATCGTGTTTTGGACATCATCACCAGAAAGAGAAATGACATTTAAGAAAGCTGCTTGTGAGTTGGGTGTACGCACTACAACAAAGTTGGTGCTTGATGATGGGTTGAATTGGAGTTCAACATACTTGATGCTGCAAGACTCAATTGTTGTCAAGGATGTATTTTCTCATTTTAGACAGCAGCAATCTCAATATGACTCTTTGCCTACTAAGGAAGAATGGGATTTAGCTATGAAAGTGTGCAATAGGCTGCAATTTCTGTATAATGAGACGAAGTCTTTGGCAGATTGTCCTGCTGCTTGCTTCTATTTTATGCACTTGTGTTTCATTAAAGAGACTTTAACCGAGTGGCTCGATTGTGAGGCTCCAGTGATTAAAAATATGGCCTCAATGATGGTAAAGAAGCTTGATAAGTACGTGTTTGCAACACATGATATACTAGGGGGTTGTGTCTGTGTTTCACCCTAAATATCGATTTTTCTCAGTGGAGCACTTTTTTCCATTAATTTATGGAAATGAAGCTGAAGGTGTAATTGAAAGGGTTCGCCGAATGTTGTATGATTTATTTAATGAGTACAAGAGCTCCCTTCCTGTGGAAAAACCCAGTAATGAGGGCTTAAGCTTGCTAGAGTTGCGGCAAAATCCTGCAGAATTCATGTTCAAGAGGTATCTCAGAGAAATGAAGAAGAAAGAACCCGAACATTACGAGGTTGACTTGTACTTAAAAGAATATTTTGATCCAGAAACAAAAGATTTTGATATCTTGTCTTGGTGGAATAAAAAGAAGTCAAGATATCCTGTCTTGCATAAGATTGCAAAAGAAGTCTTGGCTATTCCAATTTTCTCAGTTGATGTAGAGAATGCATTTGATATTGGTGATAAGATTTTGGGTGCAAATCGTAGCAGACTTCGTCCAACAATGGTTGAGGCATTGATGTGTACTCAGAGTTGGATTAGGAGACGCAAAAACTTGGATTCCTAAGGTAAAGCAACTAAGTTAATGAAAATTAGGAAATCTTACTGTTTAGTGTTTACCACATTGATGTATTAATGCTTTTATATATGGGATAATCACACATTTTATACTTAATATATCTACATGCAGTTTCATGACTTCATCTGCTGCTATAATTTTGCATTCATTAGGTACAATCTTTGATGACGCTAATGTTGATTGTGTAATAATTTTTGAGGTAAAACTCTGTTCTATTCAACCACTCATATAGTCACATTGTTATCATTCCCTTGAACTGGATTTGATCACATAACATTGTCTCTCAGGACAAGACTGCAGAATCTATTGACGAGCCTTCAGAGTCACCTAAATGATTGACAACAGAAAATTGCTCGCTGATAGCTTTTGAATTTGGTTGAAATGTTAGTTCGTTGGTACATGTATGCCTGGTAGGGAGAAAGAGTTGGATTTCTGTAGAAGCTCGTTGCTAACTGCGTAAACTGGTGACGTAGTACAATAGTAGACTTCATACAACAATAGTAGTGTAGGCACTTGTGATGTACAGTATTAAAAATTGGTGTGTTACAAGTTTTTTTTCCCTTGAGATGGGCTCAAAGATGTATACAATGAATCTTTCTCGTTCATTTCCATCTTTCTCTCATTGGATTTTTCTTGGTCCTCTTTTTCTCCCCTGCTCTTTCTGTCTCTAGGATCGTATAGTCGTGGTGGCAGACTGGTAGGGTGGTGAGGTCATGGAGATGCGAAGGTGTTGTGGTGATTTTGAAGGGGTTGGGAATATTACTTCTGGTTGTGGCCTTGTGAGTTGAGTAATGAGTAGTGTTGGCATGGAAGGGTAGAGGGACTTATTGCTAATTGGTGGTGCACTTGTGTTTTTGTATGCTTTTCTCATTAAATGGTGTGTCAAAATTGGTTTTTCAAAGAGCTTAACAAGTTGGGTTTTTTTTTTTTTTTTTTTTTTTTTGTTACAAAAAAAATAATTAATTAATTAATTATTTTTAGTAACAAGTCAAAGTTACTTGATAAAATGGAATAATTATTTGTTTCTGTTTCAAAAAAAGTAATTATTTGTTTAGATTAGGAACGTAAGTTTTATCAAACTTTTTTTTTGTATTTTTTTTTTAATTCAAGTAAAAGTAGTCGTTAAACAATGATACAAAATACTTGATACTGTAGAAAAATACATCAATTTATGTGTGATGTTGTCATGTGTTTTAAGATTAATTCTCATTTCTAAAATTACAATGACGTATGTGTGATCTTGGATTTTATTTACTAAGTTCCATTACTATATATTTTAGAAACCAAGAATAAAAATAGTTTCAAGTCTAAAACATAATGACTAATTTATGCAAAATTAACCGGTATCCGATCACTTAGATGTACGGAGTATAAAATTACTTTACCCAAACCTAATCGAATTCAACCGGTCCAAAATGACTCGATAATCAATGTGAATGTGTAAATTACAATACTTCCTTTCCTTTGTTTCAAGTTAAATGCAATAGTTTGATTGACACACTTATCAATGTACAATTTTGACCATTAGCAACTCTTATTGCGGAATATGAGTATAAATTATACTTGTATTACGGAGTAACACCTGTTTTGTTTTTATATTTTATTCCATAATAAATATTTACGGTCAAAAAGAGACATGTGAATTCTTTATTATATTAAAAAGGTCAACCACTTGCACCGTGAAACAAAAGGGATAGTACCACATATGTTACTGAGTATTTAAATACGCATAACACGTGTGTTACGGAGTATTTAAATATGCATAACGCATATTGACGATAGAATCGAAAATGACTACCGGATCAAAACCAAGAAGTGTCGTCTTTTTCCCGCCTCTTCCTCTTCAGCAGCGCAAATCTCTCTCTCAACTCTCAACTCTCAATTCTCAACACATTCCGAAAGCATTGATGAATTGGGAAGCATGAACTTTTTACAAGGTGAAATTCTGTCTCTTTCTCTTACACCATTTTCTTCCTTCAATTTTACTGCCTAATTATTATTTTCTTCTTACATTGTATTGATATTGTCTTCTCTGTATAAATTCGGTAGAAATTATTGCTTAATTTTCATTAATAATCTGTGCTCTGTATAATTTTGCTCAGGTTAATTTTATTTCTGTGGATTTTTCCTTGATAATACATGGAAAATCTGAGTGATGTTCTCTCATTTTAGGGTTTCTAGGTCAAAAATTCACAAATTGAAAATTCTCTGTTGAAATTACGGAGATTTTGTGAACCACTATCTTTTACATTGCTATCTTTGTGAATTACTAGTAGCAATTAGGGTGGGATGATATGTTTAAAAAAAAAAAAACTTTAAAGGTAGTAAATTACTACTCTCTCCATCCCCAAATGATTTTCCCAGTTAATATTTAGGTCAAACTTTAAAAACTTTGACCATAAATTTCTGTTAATCTATAAGTGATTATATGTTCACGTAAGATCTTGTTGGATTCGACACATTGTATATTTTTATTAATATCAAGTTTTTATAATTTTTACGCGTATGAATATAGAAATTTAGGCATTTTAAGACACGTTTTGAGACCGTAAAAATTTGGGGACGGAAGGAGTACCTTTTAAGTTTTTTTTTTAACAATCATCCCACCCTACCCTCATTGCTACTAGTAATTCACAAAGATAGCAAACTAAAAGATAGTGGTTCACGAAATTTGCTAAAATTATCATGGCATACCATTTACTCCTTTCGTCCCTATTTAATTAACACACTTTGAATGTCACCAGGATGTAAGAGTGTTTGGTTTCTAAAAAATAAATTGGTGAAATTGAATGCTTTTATCACATATTCTTGATAAATGAAATATGTAGGTCAAGGTGCAAATTTGTAACATTTTAGGTAAAACCGCTAACACCATTAGCAGTTTTACCTATGAACATTGCTAATTAAATGATTTCATTATAATCTTGCCACTTGATTTGCATTCCAAGATTATCAAAGGGATGAACTTATATTTTCTCGTTGTTATGTAACCTTGTTACCTTGGTTTGACTACTCACTTGGTTTTGATAGTGAGTGTCAATGAAGAGTCCATATCTGAAACTTTTTTTTTTTTTTTTGATCTATGCTCCATGTTGGTTTGGCGATTATTTTTGTTTCAAATAGCTAGACACTAATGTACCAAGCTTGGATATTTCTCTTGCTGCCGCGTTTGCCTTCTAATTAGTAGCCTTGTGCTAAGACAGTATATATAGTTGGGGGGGGGGGTACAACGGACTCATAGAGTCTTGTAAAAAGGTAGCATCTAGAGAGGAAGTTGCTGAAGTTTTTTTTCGAGACAACGCAAATAGGGGTGAAGGTGTGATCACTGATCAGGGCCTTTTGGGTTCGGCTGAGATCTCACAGATACACTGTATTGATGTTTTTTTTTTTACTTTACGCATATTGATTTTTGTACTGGTACTTGTAGCTTTAATAAACTACTCTGGGACAGCATTATGCTACTATAGTTAAGGACTTTAGGATCATGTCAACGTTCAACACTTGGATTGGAAACTTACTTTCGCTCATCATTTGAAACAAGGTTCATTTGAAACTGTTTATGGTCAATGTTAGTTCCTTATGTTCTATTATTGATTGTTAAACTTCTAACCTGATTCAACATGGTAGGTTTGACATGTCTTCTGGAGGGTTAAGCGCTGAGTCCATAAATAAACCGGTTGCTGGCATTCAATCTCCTGCCCTAGTCAATGATTCAGAACCATCACATGAGGAAGATGGAGTATCTTCTATGCATACTTCTGATTTATATAATATACCTTTGCGTGAACGAGCTGGACGACTTAAAACCATCAATCAGCTTACCTTCTTTCCAATGGGGATAAGGAGAGAATTGGCAAAAGCAATAATTCTACATGACTATCCCCTCTCCATGGTTGATCATACGGGGTTTAGAAAACTCTTTGAAGTTGTTTACCCCTCGGTTTCTCAAATCACACTAAACAGTGATATATCAAAAATCCATGAGTTCAATAGGGACATTTCAATGGGATCGTTCAGTGATAATGAGAGCAAGATTGCCGTTACTGTAGATAAGTGGATTTCATGTGAACAAACTAAGAGATATATTGCTATTACAGGACAGATAATCGATGATAACTGGAAAGTTGAACGTCGCATGATGAGGTACTTTTATACATAAATCTTAATTCCGTGTGTTAACCACCCTTGTTTCTGTGAAATTTGCTTGTTTCTGCTGCCTTCTTATATTTGTAATGTAGTTTGTTTCTGTAAAAATTGACTTTCATATTATTCACATTTTGAAGGTTTGTATATGTGCCTTACACATTTAAAAATGAGTTGATTGCCAAACTCACTGCGGATTGTCTTATTGACTGGGATGTGGCCTCAAAAATCTCTACTATTGCCATTGAATATGCATCTGATGATTCTGATGAGGGACGACTTACTGATATTTTAGCTGATAAGCTTTCAAGTAGCTCTCTTATATTGGGTGGAAAATTGTTGCAAACAAGATGTTTTGCTCGTACTATGAGCTTGATGGTTAAAGAGGGTTTCGATGTAATTGGAAGTGTGATTGAGAAAATTCGTGAGAGTATCCTGTTCTGGACTGCAACACCCCAAAGAGAGGGGGATTTTAAGGAAGCATCGCGTGAGCTAAGCATATCTGATAGTGACAGTAAGTTGAATCTTGATTCTGTCTCCAAGTGGAACACAACCTTTCTGATGTTACAATCAGCTCTTTTGCTTAAACCTGTCTTCTGTCACCTGAAGAAACAGGAGTCTGAATACTTGTGTGTGCCTAGCGAAGAGGAGTGGGAGTTAGCCAAAGAAATTTGTCAAAAGCTGAGACTATTCTATACAGTGATAAATCGTGTCTCTAACTATCGTTGTGCAAACTTTTTTTTCTTAGATTTGTGTACCATCAAAACAGCTATCTCTAAATGGGTTACCTGCACTAATGAGATCGTGAGAAACATGGCTTTGAAAACGCTAGAGATATTTGACAAGTACTGGAACTCAGTACGGGATATTTTTGCTGTTGCTTCAGTATTGGATCATAGATTTAAATTGGTTGGTGTTGAGGAATGTTTCGAAAATATCTATGGAGATGAAAGTCAGATCGAAGTGGAGCACATTCGCCAAATTTTCTTTGATCTCTTCAACGAGTATCAAAGTAAAGTGATCCCGGAGGAGACAAATTGTGATGATCGTTCTTTTTCTGGCCTTGATGATTCAGATACTTGTACATACTTTGAAAAAATGAAGAAGCGTGTAAGGAAGAAGAGAAAAATGGAGCAACTTGATCAGAAACCCGAATTGGATGCTTACTTGGAAGAGGATATCAGTTATGTTGATGAAAGTGTTGGAGATATTGCTGTTTTGGGTTGGTGGAGGTATGCAAACAAGCCTGTCTTGAAGAAAATGGTGAGAGATATTCTGGCTATTCCTATCTTCTCAGTTGCTCCAGAGCACATATTTGATACTGGAGAATACCGAGTTTTGAGTCCACATCGTAGTCGACTTCATCCAACCATGGTGGAGAAGTTGATGTCTACTCAAAGCTGGTTATGGACTGATATCAATGGTGAGATGTAACTTTCTTTTACAGTGCAAATAGTTGAAGCTTACTTGTATGCTTGTGTGATCTAATTCTCTTCTTTTTTTAATATACAGATTCTTATTCGGTAACTAATTCATATTCATGGGGCACAGTTGATAATTATACTGTGGTAGAACAAGAGGCTGCTGAAAAGGTAAATTAAGCAATACCATAATCCTAAAACTCTCTTTTCTAGGATTAGTTTTTACACTATCTCAATATTTTATTAAAAAAAAAAAAAAACTATTATAGTTGTGATATCTGTCCTTTCTCTAACATTTTATTTAAAAAAAAGTCTGTTAGGAAAACCAATCATAAACCAATACTAATTTACTATATGTGATAATTATTTCTAAACTTCAATTAAATGTGTATACCTGGATAGAAAACGTGCTTACAATAGTATTCATATATTTATTTCAGGCCAAACTCGCTCAGCCATGTTAGTCAAATGGCTCCATGTAAATTACTTATCAGAACAGTACATGAAAGTCCAAACTTTCCGTTTTCTGGGGATCAAGGATTGAGAAATGAGAACTGAATGCCAATGTGTATAATTCTATATGCATCATATCCCATTATTAACTTGCTAGCTAGTCAAACGACTATACAATGTAAATGATGTTCTGCAACATGTGAGGTTGTGAACTGACTTACTGACTAGAGTACCTAGTCCTTTTGTTAAGAACAGGAGTTATGGTAATCCCTTGTATAATTCTATATGCATCATATCCCATCATTTTTTCTCTCGTCTCTCACCATAAGACGTTGATTGGGGAACACAATTGTCATTTCTGGCCTGGATGATTTTGTACAACTGGTTACAGTATTTGTGGCTCGTAACCATTCTTTGTCGAAGTGAATAGGCACATTTGAGACTTAATCACTGAAAATGACATCTAAATTATCAACCTGTTGGCTACAGAACTACAAATTTACAATTAGCTTGGACTTGATTCTCTACATATGATGTAGAGGTCTTTAACTACTGATTCGAACTACCTATTACATTTTGATTCAACATTACATTGCTAAAAATTCTCTGATGTAGTCTAAGTACATGGTACATGGATCATTTCGATCAAATATCAAGGTTACTACAGAGTATTTTTACTATATGTTTTTTCAAGCCTCCCTGATTTCTCTTCCTTCATCACTAGTTTTCTTATTCTCAAACAGTTTCCCTATATCCTCCAAATTCTTCCCTTTAGTTTCCGGTATAGTGAAGAAGAAAAACACCATCGCCAACACCATAATTCCGGCCAAAACAAAGAACATACCCCCAAATGTTATCTTTGTTGCTATAGTCAGAAATGTCATTGCCACAACCCCACTGACAAACCTATTTACAGAGACCGCCAAACTCGTCCCTTGGGCCCTAAGCCTCATCGGAAAAATCTCCGACGAGTACACCCAAGTTATAGGGCCAAGCCCGACAGAAAAAAATGACACATCAGCACAGACCGCGATCACACTTACAACAATAGCCCAACTAGGCTTATGGCCTGAAGCCCTAAGAAACATGGACCCAAGGCCCAAAGTTGATAGGGACACAGCCATACCAGCTGAGCTCAATAACAGAAGAGGTCTCCTACCATATTTATCTAAGACAAGAGCTGATATCATAACAAAGGTAGCTTTAGCTGTTCCCATGATCACATTGATGGCAAAGAGCAGCTTCTTCTTCTTGATTCCAGCAGCGCTAAAGACCTCAGGGAGATAGTAAATCACGGCATCATTCCCGGAAGCCTGCATGAAGAAGTTTATCCCGATGGCTGCGATGAGGATCCGGCGAGTCCCTGGTGTTGGCTTCCAAAGTAGCTCCTTCCATACACTTTGCCCAACAAAGTTGCTTGCTTCTGCCAATTAGTTAACATATTTGACATTATGAACTGCACTACTAGAAATGCAAAAAAAAAAAAAAAAAAAAATGTATATATGTCTATGCACCCAAAAAATAGAAGTATAAAGTATTACCATGAAGTTCCCATGCTCTAGTGATCTCTCCAAGTCTAACCTCAGCTTCTTCTTCATTTTCAGACGTTGCAACCAAGACTGTTTTCGCCTCGCTCAACCTCTTCTTCATGACAAGCCACCTAGGCGACTCAGGCATAAAAAACACCCCCAATCCAACACCGATAGAGGGAACAACCGCCAACAGGAGCATCACCCTCCAGTTCCAATTATTAGGTATCCCTGAAAGTGCATAATTGACCACATACCCTAACAATATTCCTACAGTTATGAAAACCTCAGGCAATGAGCTCATGAATCCACGTGTCATTGTTGGTGATATCTCAGCCGTGTAAACGGGTGCAATCATGAGGGAGTAGCCTACTCCTATACCGGCCACCACACGACCTGCCATTAGGTAAGGGTACGACGGGGCCAGCCCCATGAGCAAGGCCCCGGCGAAGAAGGTGCAGGCTGCAAGGACAATGGTGTAGCGCCTGCCAATGAGGTCCGAGGTCTTGCCGGATAATAGAGAGCCAATGAGTGAGCATACGTTAAGGGAACCTACTAAGATTTCTTCTTGGAATTTACTTAGTTTTAGGTCCTCTCTTATGTACAGGATTGCCCCACTTATTACTCCAATATCTGTAAATATTAAAAATATAGATTAGATTGAAAACTATAAGCACTATAACCAAAAATTGAGAGTGGGAAACAAAAAAAAAAAAAAAAAAAAAGCTAGACACTTTGAGAGTGCAGTGGGAAGAAGTGTAAAAGTATATGTTTATCCTAAAATGAAAGTACACGGATTAAAATTTAAAATTATAATTCACTCTTACGAGTATATGTCAATCATTACTTATTAAATCAAATAAGATTATAATTATTTGGTTTTTTTTTTTGGAAACAACCAAATAAAACCCAGACTTTGTGAGAAACTACCTAATAAAAAATGTTGTAAGAAACTACTTAATAAAAGATAAAATGTTGTAAGAAACCATCACATTCATCCCCAAAACCAACACAACTTGCTTGAAATTGCCTCCACCACACCAAAACCACCCTCCAAGGCTCCAACCCCAAAACCACCACCTCTAAGCCCCAAAAAACTACCATCCCGAAGCACAAAACTACCCTCACCAACTCGGAATATCCTCCAACCACTCCGAAAATAACCTTGCCACCTTGAAAACCAACCCACGCGGTGGTTTTGAGGGTATTTTGAGGTGGGTCAATGTTGTAAAATTAAGTCAACGGTGGAAATTCAGTTGGTAGTATCGTACAACATTTTGCCTTTTATTAGGAAATTTCTCACAACATTTTTTTAATTAGATAGTTTTTCACCAATTTTAGGTTTTATTAGCTAGTTTTTGAAAAAAAAAACCTAATTAATTTTTTTTCCATGCAAAAAAATAATGTTTCCAAAGGAACAAAAAATAATGCAATATTGGATATAATATATTCTTACTTAATTTTTTTCATTCTACAAATCTTTCATTTTATATTAGGAATCTCTACTTTCCTAATCTATAATATTATCTTTTATATTCAATTATCTGCCACATCATCATTCATATCCGACACATCATCATGATTTAACTCGGCCTAGGTTAGCACTTAGCAGGCTAGATAATTTGGAAGAGTGGGGGAGGAAAGGTAATGAAATCTTCTCCTCCAAATTATCGGGTTTAAACCTCCAACCTTATGATGATTTGGACTATTAAAGTCAATTCATATACTACTCGTACATGTCTACGCACATTAAACTTCTTATGCGAAGTATTATACTCGTATATATATTTGATGGCTCTTCAATTTGCTGGGCACAGCAGCACAAATGCACAATGTGGCATGAATCTCATTGTATATTCATGATGCAGTTAGTTGGAATCATCCCAAACTTCAATGATTCACCAACTTTTTCTAAGCTAAGAAATTACATGAATCAATTTCTTTAACTACTGCTTTATTATTTTGAAAAAGAAAAAGAAAAAACACAAGTAAACTTTAATTTTTAACCACAAGATACTATCTTAAAATAAAATAATAAATAAAAAAAAAAAAACAAACTTTGCGTTATTCAACAAGAATCATTCTTCTACACTATCAATTTACAAGTGGTAAGAATTAGGCCTTAGCTCATCAAATATAGTACCTTTTATGCATTTAGAAGAAGCCATATATATTTTGTTTTTATTTGAGGCTATCCTTATCCTTGGCACCTTCCAATTTTCTATACCAATCTTCAATTCCTCAATCTATGTCAATTATTTCCTTGTTTATGGATATTCCTTAAACCGACTCGACTCTAAATTTAGGTCTATCATCTTATTGGCATCACTAACGTCGTGGTTCTCCTAGCCTAGTGTAAGTAACACCTAAGAATTCAAATATTTTATTCTATTTTTGTGTACCATATATTTATTAAGAGACCAGTTTGTCAGTCTGTTACTGTTTTATTCAATTTTCAATGTGGACCATCAATAAGTAAATATGATCGTACATGATTGTATGTGTGACCTAAAAGTGAGACAGTGGATCTTAAGTTCGAGTTTCTATACTTGTATATTAAAAGAGAGAAGAATGAATGAACATACCATAGCCAAGCAAAATTGAATTGGTTGAAGCCAAGAGAGCACAAGCAAGAGCATATTTGTTCATCTTAACTTTTGGCTTAACAATGACTTCCTTCGTTTTTGAATGATTTCCAACTTCAATCTCCTCCATTTTAACCCAAAAGACGAGTGCAAGCTCTTGAATGCCTCTCTATAGTTTATTTTACCACTTTTATTTCACTATTATATAGGTAGGTTGGGATAGCAGAGTGCATGCCAAATCAATAATAGGTTTTTTAATGAGATAAGATAAATGACATATAATTTGGAAGAGTGAAGTAAATTTATTTTGTAAAAAAGGAAAGAAAAATTATTATCTTAGAGAGAAGGGAGAAAATGTGTGTGAACACTGTTTATTGTACCAATAATAGACATTTAGTAATTAGCATCACAATAGCATGAAGTAAAAAACAGAAAAATTTGTAATACTTTTAAATTGTGGGATCTGATGCAAAGTGGCAGACTGGCAGTTGCATATATAGCCATGAAATTATTGGCTTTTTTCCAAAGTATCTCACCCCGTATAATTTGATTTTATTTCACTTACTTGAGTAACTTAAAGTTTAAAAGAAATCATATTCTTCCCTCGTTTTTTTCTAAAAATTATATTATGCAGCGGAGAAAGTAATTGATTGTAAAAAAGATAAAAGGCTCCGGATAATGTGGATGGTCCGATTGTGACACAAAGTGGTACTTTTGCATGCTACTTGACTACAAGCACTAGACCTTTTCTTATATGTATTTTTGCAAGATTTTTGGTTCAACTTTAAGTGTTTGTATTTTGTAACTTTTTTAATGTGGGATTTTTAAGTGGTTTTAATTTGATGAAGTGTAAATAAATGGCCAAGTGTATGTGGGGCTTTGTGTGTTATTGAGAATTGTTGCGTAGCTTTTATTTTTCATTCTCTAGAATGCATGGAGGTGTCCCCATATGTTAGTGTGATAAGGTTATATTACCAAGAAGACAAGAACTTAATGGTTTATTAATATGGGTGATGACAGTTTAGATTGTATTTGACTCAATTATGACAATAGTTGAGTATTTGATCAATCAATAGTTGAGTATTTGATTAAATTGTTCCTTTTGGTTTTAAACAAACTTGGGAAAATCATTATTGTTTCTAAGTTGTTTCTCCTTATGTACTTATGGACTCGTTGTCTCGTGATTAATTGAAGTTGTTGAAGCGTTTTCAAAAAAAAAAAAAAATAAATAAATAAATTAGAACCGAACCAAATTGTAATACTCGTAGATTCGAGATGACTTTAAACATGTTTGTTTTTCACTCGTTTAATCTACATTAGGATATGGTGACCTTTGAAATATTAACCAGTTATCGTTTGACATTCAACAAGCACATTATGTAGGAATTTATATTTAGATTAAACTATAATATTGTTTATTTGTTTAAATGATTTTAGGTTTGGAGGGGAGATGATTAGCAAATCAATGTGGAAATTATTTAAATATCTTTCCAGAAACTTTTCTCTCCTTCCTTTCCTTGAATTATTTGTCAAAAACAAATTGTACTACGCTACTACGGAGTATTTAGATTCATAAGTTATTTTCAATGATGGACCATTGTGTTTCCTCATTATAATTTCATTAAGAAAAGGTAAAAGAAAATTTTTACCTCCATTTGTGAAATTTCGACTCACTTACTATTCATGTGGTTAAAATAAAATAATTTTGACCAACTTTTATGATTTATACATAAGAATTAAATTAATTAACATGAGAGATCTTATTAGGTTTATCTTAGTTTATATTTTCCAAATATCAACTTTTTATAATTGTCACTTACACATAGCCAAAGATATAAATGGTCAAAGACGTACATTGGAGACCATGCAAATGTAAAGTGAGTCGAACTTTCAAGAACGAAGGGAATATAATATTTTTACATAGCATGCATGAAATCGCCTTTTTTTTTTAATTTTTAATTTTCGAAAGAAAACACATGAAGTTTCATATTCACTCAACAGCTTCATATTCACTCAACAATAAACTTTTGTAAGGCTTTTGCAACACAGTACTGGATGCTTGATCACCCGGAAGCTTTTCTTCTTCACCAACCCATTTTTTATTCAGATCATGCTGCTATAATTTTACAGGAAAAACCTACTTCCTTCTCTCGCCGACCTTACAGAATTGACTACTGGTGTCTTTTATCAAAGGAAGTGGCGGATATTATATCATTAACTTGGGCTTTGGACTATAAGGGTTCTCCTATGTATGCTATTTCTAGGAAACTGCAGAACTTACGCACCAAGTTGCTTTCATGGTGTATTAATCATAAGAAGTTTTGGGGCATCAACTGGAAGGATTTGCATTCTTCACTATCTCCCCTGGCTCAGAACTTGGAGTCCAAGCTTCACCGTCATTTGTTTCTTTCCTTGCGAGATGACAAAATAGCTCAATCTCAGACCGCTTTTCTTTATTGGAAACAATGGGCTAAAGTTTAGTGGGACGCTTTGGGTGACTGTCATTCCCATCTGCTCTTTTCTTATGTTCAGGCTCGCCGCCGGGAAAACAAAATCCAAGGTCTTTTGGATTCAAATGGAAGTTGGGTTCATGATCACGATGGTGTTCGCAGGATTATTCTGGATTATTATTCACAGCTATTTTGTACTTCTCAGGATTCGGTAAACTTGCCTGCTTTTGATTGGAATGCTCTAGACCTTCCTCATCTTTCGGATTGTCAAAAACTTGAAATTACTCCAATTTCATATGATGAAATCAGGTGAGCTATGTTCAGCATTGATAAATCTAAAACTCCAAGGCCTGATGGCTTCACTTCTGCCTTTTTTAAGTCTCATTGGTTTGATGTCGGCCCCTCGGTTGTATTTGCGGTGCAATATTTCTTTCTGCATGGTCATATGCTTCGGGAATGGAATCGTACCTTTATCATTCTTCTTTCCAAGGTGGACCATCCCGAATAGCCTTCTCAATTCCGACCGATAAGGTTATGCAACGTCCTCTACAAATGCGTTGCTAAATGTATTTCTTTCCAACTCCGGAGAGTTTTACCTTCCCTTGTTTCGGATTTCCAGAATGCATTTGTTCCAGGACGACTCATGTCTGACAACAGTCTCATTCCTCACGAATTATTTTCTTATATGGATCGTTCTCGGGGTTGTACTATGTCTTCTGCTTTGAAGCTGGATATGAACAAAGCCTACGACAGGGTCAATTGGCACTTTCTGTGGCAAGTCCTTCGAGTCTTTGGTTTCCTGTCATATTGGATACACATCATAAAACAGTGCGTCTCTACGGTTTCCTTATCAGATTTGGTCAATGGCAACCCTACAAAAGTTTTTAGGCCGGCTCGTGGGGTTCGTGAAGGGGATCCTTTGTCTTCTTATCTTTTTGTCTTTGTATGGAACTTTTTTCGGCTATGATTCGTAAGGCAAAAAAAGATAACCTCTTTCGGGGCGTTAAGATCTCTAGGCATTCTCCTTCGATCTCTCATTTGTTCTTTGCAGATGACTCCCTTCTTTTCTTTCAGCCTTCTCCTCCAGCTTGTACTGAGGTTCTTCAAGTGATTCAAAGGTTTTGTGACATCTCGGGCCAGATGATAAAATTCATAGAAGTCCTTTGTCCATTTTAGTCCTAATGTTCCGGATGACTACCGAGATTTTTAGCCTTAGCTCTGCAACTTAAGTTTCAACCTTCCCTGAGTTCTTACCTAGGTCTTCCGGTGGATATGGGGCACAGTAAGTGCCAGACTTTCCAACCTCTCATTGACAAGGTGGCTAGTTGTTTGAGTAGGTTTGCTTCCCTCCATCTATCTGCTGCAGCTAATCTTGTGATTATCAACTCCGTTCTGGTGGCTTCTCTTAATCATGTTCTTTCGGTATTCAAGATTCCTTCTACGGTCACTGACAAAATTAATAATCTTTTACTTCGGTTTTGGTGGAAATCGAATTCTCACTCTAAAGGGATAGCTTTTGTTTCGGGTGAAAACAATGGGACCTTGCCGAAGGTCCGCTGAAATGGAGAAGACTGGATTCGGTCCAAGTTGTGTTGGGCCGAAGGTTTCCTGCACAGTAAACACACGTAAACTAGCCTCGGGGGTGTTTCCGAGGAAGGCCCCTCCGAGGCTAAAGTCAGTACAATGTGTAAAAGGAAGACACTATGCAAGAGAGTTTGTAGCTTGAGGCTTTTGTGGAATATATCTCAATGAGGATATGAATATGAACGTGTATCAGAAAAAATATATGAACGTTAATATGATGGCTTTTATACCTCATCATACATGGTGAGGTTGGGCCTTAGCCCAATTGGCATGCTTTGTGGGCTGACCTTTGACTTTTGTGCAATTGGAGAGTTGAACCTTGACCTTGGGCTTTTAATTGGATCATTTAGTGCTTAGGCCCAATTTTGACTAAATTGGACCCAAACAACTTGCCCCCCAGACCCGATTTGGAAGGATGACGGGTCGGGTTTGATTTAATTCAGAAAAGGAGGGAAGTAAATGATTTAATTGATCCAAAAATTTGAATTTAAACCGTAATTAATGAGATAACAACGGTTAATGATTGCGGAAGTTGGACGGATAATGGGCAGTTTAATCACAAGATCATGTGTTTAATGGTTACTTAGTGGGTATTTAAGAGAAATTAAAGCACAGACTCTTCGTATCCCGTACCTGGAGATATAAACAGAGGCGCGTCATTCTCCTCACTTATTCACCAACACAAACCCAGAATTCCTCGAGAGAGAAACCAAGAACCCGCATCAAAACTTCGCAAATTCCCCGAGCATTGAGCTTAGAAACTGAGACTTGCCACTACGAACTCGTAAATCGGCAACTTTCGCTTCAGATTAAGGTAAATTCCTTTGATTTCAGTTTATTTTTCTTCGAATTCGAACTCCTTCCCCTTTTCTTTCGACTTTTCTCTTCGAAATAATCAATGGCAAGAGGAGTTAGAGGTAGAGCCCGTGCTCCAAGAAGAGCAAGGCCGATTCCCGATCCTAGGAACAGGATTGGGACCTGGAATGGTCAAAGGCCGGAGTCTGACCCTGCTGAAGGGATTAGGGCGACTCCCCTTTCCTCGGCTCCTCCTCAAAGAACGGATGAGCCGAGCGCTTCTGGACGGGATGATGAAGTTCCCGCTGTCCTTTGGGATATCCTCCCTGGGTTTTCAGAATGGGAGAATGCCGAAGTCGTTTCGGCCATGATAAAGAACCGCCCCTACTCATGGTGGGTAGAGAACGCCGATCAATATCGATTTGCCGAGCAAATTGAGTTGCATTACGGCATTTTTGAAGCTGATGGATATTGGTGCCGAATGCCCTCAGCATCCGATAGAATCCATCGTCCACCCCCGGGGTATGTGGGGGTGTACACGAGACAGCTTCAGTACGGGCTGAGGTTCCCTTTGGACGTTTTCGTCCGAGACTTGCTGATCCATTACAACATCTCCCTATGTCAGCTAACCCCCACCAGCATCCGAAGGGTGATGACATACTTATGGGTCTGCAAGTTCTTCAAGTACGTGCCGAACCTGCACTGCTTCAAAAAGCTCCATCGGCTAGTGCCAAATATTCAAAGTGGGCACGGA